TTTTGTCATACAAAAAATAGTTTTATTTATAAGCATATAACGATAAAGAATGCATCATTTAATTATGGTTAATTATGGAGTTGAATTTTGATGGATTAGAGTTTTCAGCTCAGATATAGAGCACGTAAATTTTTTTTACAAAATCCTTTCCTTATTCATTAAAAAAGGAAAGGTTGCAACGAAATGATGGATCAGAACCTTCGCAGATGAACAAACATAACCAAATTCAGAAATGGACCGTAAATAAACGTAAAGGTTATAAGGAGTTAAAGTAATATACTCACAAACTAATTATCGTAAATAAAGTGTTATTGAAAGATATCGTTGAGAAATGAATTAATTCCCTGTTTTGAGGTTTCAGATAATCAATAAATAATATTTAACAACTTGCTATAATATTAAAAAATTATTCTCAACGATAAATTCTTAAATTTCTAATTTCAAATTAATAAATTACAAATAAATATTGATGACTTGTCAAAATTTTCCACGCCAGTTTCATAGTTCCATATTTGTAGCCAATTGGTTATAAAATTTCCCTTAGAGTCGTCTGCTATAGTTTTATAAAACCAAAATGTTTTATGTTTGTCCAATTCTATCTTAATTCTTAAATAATAACAATACCCAACCTGATACATTCCATAAAAATCACTATTACTTGCAGATTTTTATATAACATGAATGCTTCATTTTTATTCTGTTCAATTCCTATCTCATATTGATAACAATGACCAAGATTCATTCCACCGGTGTGCAAATTTTTCATAATAAATAAATACCTTATATTCATCCTTTTCGATTTCAATTCATAAAGATAACAGTCACCAAACCGAAACATTTCATTATAATATGCATCATGGAAAAGATTGGTAATTATATAATATAATAGAGCGGAGTGGAAGACTTTAGAGCCGTACACTTTGAAATGGTTGTGATTATTTTCGCAAAAAAAAAAAAAAAAAAAAGGAGAAAAGTATGAACCAATCCGGTATTACCACAAATCACATAACCTTTCGATAATTTGCTCTAATTATAAATTGCGATTCGTTTTTTTTTGTTTCGTATTCATTATTTATATTTCTTATTATATTTCATATTTTATTTTCTATTATATTTACAACAAATAAAAGGAAGAAAAGTTAAATCTCTTATATAAAGTAATTCAGATAAATAAATATTTATTTTTATAGTATGTAAAATTTAAGAACATAATTTTTTGACATCAATTTTTCCTTTACCAGTGTATAAAAACTATATGCATGTCGTACGTTGGAATGGAATTATTATAGATTTAGAATTCACATATGTAGATTCCAAATAAACATAGGTTGTAATGAAATTCTAAAATGCGCCCGAGTCGTTAAAGAATTCCAATTTAACTTATAAAATTAAGTGTATTCCAAATTATTTCATCGAATATGTTTTGTTGGAATTTAAGTCGCTTTAAGACAAAGTTTATTCATAACACAACGTATTACAAATTAATTAAATTTAAAAGCATTACATGAACCTTTTATCTAAATACATTTACAATGATTTTTTGTCACGCGTTTTTGCAATTGCATTTAATATTATCTACGTGTAATTGTGAAGATTGCATAATAGGTAATTCTAATAATACTAGATTGCTCCCAAGTGTATATTATACGTGTCATCCTCAAAACTTCGAGAGTACAAAGAATGAACAAGTGAATTAAGAAAAAGAAAATAATAAAACATTTACATTTTATCTTGATAATTTATCATGATGATGTAATTTATTCGACTACCGTTACGGCGATCGATTACACATTTATTAAAGTATCGAATTTAAATTAAGTTGCCAGTAAGGGTTCTCTCAAGCATCTCCCTGAGTGTGATTAGATAGTGATTAAGATGACGCTCAATCAATACAATCAATTAGTACTGTAGTATAAAGATCGTGATCAACGATTGAGCAAATTCTTTTCATATTACGATTAATTATTATGTCGACAAACAAAAAAAAAGTATCGTCCCAACAAACAAAAAACATATTACCATTATCAGCAACTTCGAACATATCTGTCCCAACAACTTCAAGCATGCCTGTTACCTCTTCCACTATTCCAAATGTTTCTATTATCCCTTCGGTTACTTACAATACTCCTGTCACTCCTTTTACAGATTTTACTAATCTTTATATGCTGCTGCAGCAACATTATCCTTCTGCACAACTATTTAATCCTTTAGTTTTAAACAAAACTAATAATGAAAGTGAAGAGGTATATAATTGAATTTTTTAAAAAAAATTGTAAATTGTATAATAATTGTTAAAAAAAATTTTTCAATAATCTTTTTAAAGTCTTCTATTATTGCCAATAGTCAACCCCCTATTATGAGTTAAGAAAATTTACAAAGTATAGATGATTCATCTAACTCTAATACTACTTCAGGAAATATAGTATAATACTAAAAGACAAAAAGTATCTGTATTAATAAAAATAAGAAATTTCTTGAAGATATTCAAAGTTTTATTAAGAAACAAATGAATACTATCATTGAGACAATCAAAGAGCAATATTTACATATGTGTGAAGTTCAACAATAACAACATAAACAATTTTAATAATGTAATACATTTTTAAATATATTTAATAATATATCTTTAAGTGATTTGTATATGCAGTAATTAATAAAAATTTGCAAGAATATTTGCTAAATATTCCCTTTTCTGTATACCCACTATATGTTCTCTTTCTTTATTAATCATAATTTTTTTATAATCCTCATTATTTTTACTAATGTTAAGATCATCATTCTCATCTAGTATATTATTGTTATTAATACAAATATTGTATAAAATACAGCATACATTAATGATTCTAACTATTTGCTCTAAATCTATACAATATACTTCATTTAAAATTCACTATTATTTTTTCAAATATCCAAATGCCTGTTCAATGATCATCTGCGTCAAAGATAAAACTTTATTAAAATCATCATTCTCTATAAGTTAATTATTCATAATCAGAAAATAGCTTCATTAAATAAGTCCTAAGTAGGTATGCTGAATCAGCAATTATATAGGTGCCACCTAGAACCCACTGTTCAGAATTATAAAAAATCTCATGATACAAAAAAAATCAATAAAATATTCACGTATTATGTATACTTCCTTTAAAAATTAAAATATAAATATTAAAAAAAATTAAAAAAAATAAGATAAATAAAAAATAATAAATAAAAATTAATAAAATAACCTACTTCACTAATATATACTTATGTAAAATGTCCTAAATAATTTACTACAACAAGAAAGTTAATAAAATAGAAGTTTTTTGATTTATAAATCATGCACTATTTTTATAGGAAGGGTGAATAGAAATATGTACATTAGATAATTTATGTTTTAAGCCTGATATTTCATAATTCAAACCTTTGTGTTATAGTTGCTAATTTTGTTACTCATGACCACATTATTCTTTCTTGTTCTACATCTAACAAAACTTTCAAGACTCG